AAGGGCACAAGCCCTGGACCTCGGAGAAGCACAAATCCGCCAATCCAGTCTTCACGTTGCCGGTGTCTGAGGTCATGGCCCACGCTGCACAGCAGGGACTCATGACTTATCCAACCTATTTTCAGAAGGTCTGCAATGTGGAGGACACTGGAAAATGGTGTGCTCATCATCGCAAGAACGATCACAACACAGAGGATTGCTATACTCTGAAGAATGAGATAGCAAGGCTAATCCGCCAGGGCCATCTAAAGAAGTTCGTACAAGATGGTGATGCGGGAAATCCCGGGAATGCTCAGACTGGGAAGCATAGAGATAAGGAGGTGGCCCAGGCTGAGGCCTGGGAAAAACGCCACATCGGGCTTGAAGATGAAGAGGAGGATTCAGAACCTGCATCGCACCGCCAGAAGAGACACCACGAGTGTAACTTCATCATCGGAGGGAATACTGGCGGAGATTCAGCCACGAGCCGGAAAAAGTGGGCCAACGCGGCAATGGTCAATAAGGTGCTGGTCCTAGAAGGTAAGAAGCTGAAAACTGAGCCAATTGTATTTTCCAATGCTGATTTGCCCGAAACAGGGGTCCCCCATAGGGACGCCCTGGTGCTTACGATTGATATAATGGACTTGTTGATCCACAAGACTTTGGTGGATATGGGAAGTTCTGTTAATATCATGTATATAGATACTTACAAGGCTCTTGGCTTGACGAGAGATGAGTTATCACCCATTAAGACCCCGCTGACTGGGTTCACTGGTGACTCTATTGAGCCGGAGGGGGTAATAACTCTCCCGGTCGAGATAGGGGATACTAAGGCCACCCGGAAGCTGGACATGGAATTCGTTGTGGTGGGGATAATCTCCAATACAAATATCATCCTGGGCCGCACCAGATTGGAAGATCTAGAGTGTGTCATTTCACCTCGTCACCTATGCATAAAATTCCCAACCCCCCCATGGAGTTGGAATCGCCAGGGGATCCCAGAGAGTGTCCCGGGCGTGGTATTTGAAGGCAACCAAACAGCCTATCAAGTACGAAACCCAAGTGGGAGAGGTGACTGCACAGCTCTTAAGGGCCGAGGAGAGGCGTCCTAGAGTAGAGGTTGCTGGCGACATTGAGGAAGTTGAACTGGAGCCGGGCACGCCGGGGAGGTTAGTCAGAATTGGCTAGGGCCTGGGGGCTGAACTCAGATCACGAGTGATCTCAGTCCTTAGAAGATTCAGGAAGGTCTTTGCATAGAGTCCAGCTGATATGCCAGGGCTGGATCATATGATTGCAGTTCATCGCCTTAATGTCCTGCGAGATGCTAAACCGGTGAAGCAGAAGCGAAGACATTTGTCGCAGGAAAGAAGAGATTTCGTGAAGAAGGAGGTAGCAACCTTGCAGAGCATTGGTCACATCCGGGAGGTGCAATACCCGGATTGGTTGGCAAACGTAGTTCTGGCGCCTAAGCCTCCTTCGTGGAGGATGTGCATCGACTACACGGATTTGAACAACGCATGCCCTATGGATCCGTTCCCTCTCCCCAACATTGACCAGATGGTGGATGAGACTGCCGGATCAGAGTTAATGAGCTTCATGGACGCCTTCAGCGGCTACCATCAGATTCGGATGCACCGGGCTGATGCTGAAAAGACAAGTTTCATGACCCCGGAGGGGCTGTACTGTTACTTGGTGATGGCCTTTGGACTGAGAAATTCCGGGGCAACATATACCCGGATGGTTTCTCAAGTGTTCAAAGCCGTCCTGGGGCGAACCATGGAAGCATATGTCGATGACATGATTGTCAAGTCTAAAGAGGCCCGAGACCATGTCCGGGACCTTGAAGAGGTCTTTGAAATCATGATGAAGGTAAATTTGAGATTGAATCCGAAGAAATGTACTTTTGCTGTTCAGGGTGGAAATTTCCTCGGGCACATGGTTAGCCGGAGAGGGATTGAGGCAAACCCGGAAAAAGTTAGGGCCATCATGGAGATGGAACCCCCGAGGACAGAAAAGGAAGTTCAACGACTGACAGGGAGATTGGCGGCTTTGAATCGTTTCCTTTCAAAGTTGGCAGAAAAGGCGCACCCGTTCTTTACTGTAATCAAGAAGAGGGCGACCTTCGAATGGACGCAAGAATGTCAAGAAGCATTTGAAGAATTGAAGAGATATCTGGCGAGTCCCCCAGTTTTATCTAACCAGAACTTGGGGATGTCCTGACTTTATACTTGGCAATTGCAGATTGCGCCATCAGTACTATGATTGTGAGGGAAGAAAATGGAGCCCAACATCCGGTCTACTACGTCAGTAAGACCTTGAGAGATGCGGAGTTAAGGTATTCCCGTCCAGAGAAGGCCATGTTAGCGGTCTTCTAGACGGCGAAGAGATTAACCCCGTACTTTCAGGCTCACCAAATTTTTGTGCTCACCAATGAGCCTTTGGCGTCACTTACCCGGAGCCCGGCGGCATCTGCCCGGATGACCAAGTGGGCAGTCTTCATCAGTGAGTATAATGTGGAGTTCAGGCCGCGTCCATCAATCAAGGGGCAAGCACTCGCTGACTTTCAGGTTGAGTGCACAGCCAGGGAAATGACAATAGCCTAGGTTGGAACCCGGGTGGAAGATGACTGGTGGGTAATGAGCATCGATGGATCTTCTGGGTCTCGATCTTGCGGAGCAGGTATCGTCTTGATCACTCCGGAAAATTTTTGGATTTATTACGCTATCAGATTTCAGTTCCGCGTATCCAACAATGAAGCCGAATACGAGGCCCTGATCAACGGACTGAAGATTCCTGGCAAGTTGGGAGTGTCCAGGGTTCAAGTATACAGCGACTCCCAACTGGTGGTGGGACAAATCACTGGGGAGTTTGAAGCAAAGGAAGAGAGGATGAAGAAGTATCGAGATTTATCATTGGAAATGTTGGGAAGGTTTGAGTTTAAGCTTGAGCACATACCCCGGGCTCAAAACGCGGAAGTTGATGTTCTATCCAAGCTCAGCGCAGAATCACCAGAGTACATAAGCAAATTAGCAACTGTCGAGGAGCTGGTAACTCCGAGTCTCAACAGGGATGAAGTGTTCTGGGTATCAGCTGATCCCCCGGAATGGTTGGATAGGTTGGCAAAGTACATTGAGGACGGTGTAGCCCCGGAGGATCCCAAGGAAGCCCGTTTGCTACGAATGAGGGAACACACCTACAAGGTGCAGGATGGAGTTCTCTATAAGCGATCTTACAACGGTGTGTTGCTCCGCTGCCTCAGGGCAGCGGAGGCGAAGGCACTAATGGAAGAGATATACGAAGGAGTGTGTGCTGCACATCAGGGTCCATACTTTATCTCCAGAAGGGCGATTATCCAGGGATATTTCTGGCCAACAATGAGGAAGGATTGCGTGGAGTATGTGCGCAAATGCCCAACCTGTCAACAATTCCAGAATATGCCCGGGAGGCCAGCCACGAACTACACGCCCATCAGCTCTGTGATTCCCTTCTCAAGATGGGGGATTGATATTGTGGGTGCCCTGCCAAAAGGAGTTGGACAGGCAAGGTGGATAGTGGTGGCCATTGACTATTTTACCAAGTGGGTGGAAGCTGAACCACTTGCTGGATAACAGGAAGGCAGATGATCGACTTCGTCGGAACCAATATACTTTGTAGGTTTGGGGTCCCGAAGCAGATCATATCTGACAATGTAACCGAGTTTGAGGAAGCAGAGTTTCAAGACTTCCTCAAAACTTGGGGAATTCAGCATACGAAAGTGTCTGTAGCCTACCCTCAGGCTAATGGACAGGTGGAGAACGTCAACAGGACAATCATAAGTGGAATAAAAAAGAAGCTGCTTTCGGAAGGAAGCAAATGGGTGGATGAATTACCCAGAATCCTGTGGGCGTATAGAACGACTCCAAGGAGGGCTACGGGCGACACTCCCTTTGGTTTAGCCTATGGTTTCGAAGCCCGGGCTCCCGCTGAGGCGGTAATCCCTACCAGGAGAGAGATAGAATATGATCCGGAAGTGAATGAACAGAATCAGGCCGTATAACTGAACTTCGTAGAGGAACGAAGGGATGAAGCACGGATCCGGGCAGAGAATTATCGTCGCCAGGTGAAATCTTACTTTGATAGTAGAGTAAAACCAAGGGCGTTCCAGGTGGGGGATTACGTTCTGAGGAAGCGAGAGAAGAGTCAACCAACTAAGGGTGGGAAGCTGGCTAAGAAATATGAAGGACCTTATATCATCAAGGTCGTTGTTCGCCCAGGTACCTACAAGTTGGTGACTCCAAAGGGAAAAGAAATTGATAGGACGTGGAATGTAGAGCACTTGGTCAAATTTTATCAGTAAAATCATTTTGTAAAGCGCTCTATTTTTAAATTTAAGATGTTTGTTTCAATAAATTTTTCTTTCCTTTAAAGGCAAGTGCCTTTGCATTTTCATTGTTCTATAGATTTCTTTCAAAACAAAAAAAGGGGGGGGGGGAGAGCACCCCCGGGCGATATAGACCCACATTACAGGGAGGTAGATAAGTTTATGCCACCTGCTAAAAATAGGGGAGGTAGATAAGTTTATACCCCCCCGGAGGTAGATAAGTTTATGCCTCCGTCAAAAAATAAGAAAGGGTTGGGATTGGACTTTGAGGGCCTTTACAACCTGGAATTCGGGAAGAACAGCAACCAGACTTCGGGGGCTGAAGCTTAGTATTCCACCAGCACAGATCAACCGAGCAAACAAACTTCGAGGGTTGGAGCTCAACTGATCCAAGGTAGATAAGATAATGCCTTAACCCGGAGGAAAGGAGGTCAGGGGCAGGTGAGGTAAGTTCCCATGGCATGTCCAAACCCCGGGAGATGAGATTTTGTACAGAGAATGAAATAAGTACTTGCATTAGAAAAAGTGCAAAGAAATAAACATTTAGGACCACATTGATGGGCCAAAGCTTACATTTTTGGTTCACAATAATGGTTCCTAGTGAGATAAAAAATGAGGGAGTTCATCGATTGCTAATTCGGAGGTTGTATCTTTGAATTACAACCTTAATTCCTAGTCTGAAATTGAAGGACATTCCTTAGTATGGGACGCAGGAAAAACTCCTGAACCAAACAAGTGAATGCCTCTTGAAATAAAACAAGGAAAAGAAATTCAATTTGCAGGGGGCTAGGCACTGAAGGAGGGCCTATTGCATCCATGCAGTCAACAAGAAGGAGGTGGGGGCCCCTTCCATGGGCTCCTTCTCTTCGACGAGGGGCACGCAGCAGAATCAGCAGCTTCCCATATGTCATAGTCTTCCCACGTCCCAGGACGGGGAGCTGGTGCTCCCAATGAAGAACCATCATTGAGAGACTTCAGTGAGTTTGGAGAAGCAGTCCGGCTTTCACGTGAAGGTTTCGCCTCGACAGTCGGCAAAGAACGCCCAAGTTTGGCCCTGCGCATCCTCTGGTAAAAGGCGAAGTCTTGGAGGGTCATAGAGTCCCAGTCTATCCTCCCGGATGGAAGCCTGGGTGGACTAGGAGGAGATGTTGCAGGAAGACGAGGTGCTGGATAAAGTCTTGAGAACTCGCCAGGACTCAACCCAGCCATGTCATTGGATTGAGCCGGAGAGGCGGAGAAATCATCATCCGAAGAAGAAGATGTCCCGGAAAGGGTTAAGTCGATGACGACTTTACTCTGAGATTTACTTGCCATGGCGAAGAAATCAAAAAGGGATGAACTAGCAGCAAACCATCCCTTCCCTTTTATAGTGAAAGGGAAGGGATAGTTGGGAAATAATGAATATGGTTAAAAGATGCGAAAGACTAGACGATTGGCGAATGAAGCGGTCGAAGATTCCCAATGTTTGACCAGGGGCTTCGACACTTAAGTGCATGGGCCAATTAATTGGGCCCACCCGCACTTTGGGAAGGACATCATCCTTGGAAGGTAAGGAGTTAAATGAATATAGACTTCTACTTCATGCAGATGGCGGCACGCACGACATAATCATATTAAATGAAAGGAGATAAAGGTTTTTTCCATTAAATAGCTCAAATAGAGAAATTACACTCTTTTGGGTTACAGTAATGGGCCTTATCCCTGATCTAACATCAAAACATAAAAGAGACGGGAGATAAAGATTTTCATTCAATAACTCAAATAGAAGATTACATTCTTTTGGGTTACAGTAATGAACCTTGTCCCTGATCTACTTCTATCCTACTACTGGAAAAATCTGAAGGCAAGGCGGATCGACACTTCTGGAATCTAGAGGAGTGCATTCGTTGACCCTTGTTTCCCTGCCTGAACCAGAAAAGAACCCCAGAGCGGGGAGGTGTGGAGAAAGCGCACCGTCTCTCTTGATGACATTCATAAGAGGCGAAATGGTACCAACGGGTTGGGATTGAAAGCCATTCCCCCCGTGGGTACCATCCAGTCACTCCCATGAATGGCGGACAAGGAGGATGATAAGGCATGAGGGAAGGACTCAAGGCCTATTTCCGTTTATACGGAAGGTGGAGGCGGATCCCAGAAGGTTCTGTCCTTTTCCCTGCGTATAAACGGAAGCCTACTTCCCCCCATGTCATAGTCCCCCCACTCCTCAGGTGGCTGTCCATATGACTGTTGAGGGGAAGGGGAACCCTGGGAAGAAGGCCTCGCACCAGAGACCAACCGGGAAGCTCCTGAGTGGGGGTTGCGTCTCTTCTGCAGACGAGACGTGCCAGGACAGCCAGAAGAGACTTCTGTCCTGGCACCGTTAGGAAGCACGCCGGAACCCGGAAGAACACCTCCTGATACCCGTTGGGGGAGATGAGGGTGATTCTCCTCCCTGGGCAAGGGAGGAGTCACTGATTGTTCAGAGGCAAGAGAAGGCCCAGAAGAGAGTTCAGGTGTTGGGGCCCCAAGTGAGGGGAATGCCAACGAGGAAGAATCAGAAGAAGAATCGGAAATAGTAAGATCAATAAAGACAACTCTGTTGGAGTTATTAGCCATGTTGAGGAGTCGATTGTGATGAAGAGGGGGTTCAGCCCAGCCCCTTAAATAGGCGAGTAATCCTAAAGGAGAAGTGCAAGGGACGCGGAGTCAAAGAACTTATCCGATTGGGAAGCGGTTGCGGATTCCCGAGGAAAGCTAGGGTTGCACCGTTTCATTACTGGGCTAAGGTGAATTGGGCCCGGCGTAATTAAGGTGGGCAAGTCACTTAGCACGATGGTAAAAAGGAAAACAGCACTTTGTAAACGCGGTTAAGTCCAAAACCTAGGCGGAGAAGAAATTCCGTTAAGTCCTAAAGAGAGATAAGAGTTCCTAGAGGAGTCTATAGAAACACGGATATGAAAGAGATAAATGGCGAAGAACAAAATATTACCAGCGTCATCAAGTTGCTAACATTTAAATGTTACAAAGCAAAATACAACAGTTAGTGAAGAAAAGGAAAGTCAAGGTCCCAGGTCAGCACGAGAATTTGGGGGAGGAAGAGGAAGAGGTAACCCGTAGTGGGAGATGAAATCATCCAGGGATCGGTGAGCTGGAAGACCACTCTGGACCGCCTCATAAATGCAGTGTTGCATGTCAAATTTCCCTTCTTCATAAAGGGCTTCAGCACGGGCAGTCAGGGTGGCAACCTCCTCTTGATGGGCAGCAATTGCCTTCTCTAGTTCACCCATCCTTGACCAGAGCTCGCTGACAGTCTGTCTCTCTTTCCCCAACTTCTCGAGGGTAAGCCGTTTCGCCTCCATGTGTTTCAACATGAGATCCTTAAGATGGGCACCCTCACGCTTGGCCTCCTAGAGGGAACTCTCCAGCTCCGCAATCCGGGATTCCCTTTCAACCAGCTCAGCTTTCACACTTCCCACCTTGTCTTCTGAAGCTGAGGCCTTTGACTCCAGGATGGAGATTTGTTCCCGGAGTTTGTCAAACTGCGTTTCCAGATCCTGGGTCCCCCTTTGGTAAGCAGCAATCTGCTCCTGCAGGGACTTGACCTTGGACCTCTCAGCTGCTAGCTCCATAGGGCCATCTGCCTTGAGCCGGGCATTCTCTTCTTGGAGTGTTGTATTTAGGTGCCCTAGCAGCAATCAAATACTTATGTAACTGTACACTTTGTCATGAATGAAAGGCTTTGAAGTATGTTTTATATCTCGTGTAACATAACATAGCTTCAGTCCATAGACGATAGCGCTTCAGTAACATAGATGAGGACTACGATGTTCTGATTATGAGACTGTTACTTCTTGACGAAGGCTATGTCTAAAATGTTCGTAGTCGCACTTTATGATAATACGGACGTCATAACGTATCAAGACTAGTACGTACGAGATGAGATAGTTGCGTCTCATAGACTATAGGTATTGTGATATCTTAATCTGTACGTAGGTGCATATTATATCGATAATATGTGACTGGATTGACCCATCTTGAGAATACTGCATGGATCTACAGTAATGTGTTTATCAGTATTCTCAAATCGACCTTGCTATAACTATCCTTAGACTTGAAGTTATTACATTCTCTGGTATGTGGGGACGTATGCTTTGATTCATAACTAATGCTATCTGAAATACTGGTAGACGTACAGTTATGCGTTGGGTATGCCGCTAAGCATATTTAGAGATGTGAATAACAGATACAGGATCTGTCCCTTCTACTGTATAGAAGTATAATGTCAATGGGCCCACTGAATAGTAGGACTTGGGAAAGTGCATGGCCATGCCCAGATATGTCGCTATC